TTTTTTTTTTTTTTTTTTTTTTTTGCAGAAATGGCAAGCATGCATCTCCAGTGAGAAATTCATTGGGGTTGCTAATATTGAATAAATTATTTACTGGTTACTCATACTATATTGACTTCTATGTTTAAAAAATGCAATCACCAGCTCATCCTTGTAAAAGATTGTTTTCATAACTTTTTAACTTGACACATTTCCCAATAACATTCTGTAAATAAAGTCAGTTCTACCTGCTGTTGGTGTCAACTGCTCTTTTTAAGTTACCTGATACATTAGAGTAAAAAGACAGTGTACCTTTTGCCCTTTTCCCTTGGATTATTAAACTAGATTACTGTTACTATATTACATAACTCTCTACATGAAAAGGCTCTAACACTTCCATGTGGAAGAGTTCTATCAATGTTGCATTATATGCACCTTTGCAAGCCTGTTCACTTTTTCTTATGAAAGCAACTACTAACTCTCTTCCACTATCTTAATAGAAAACAGAGCTCTATTTCTGGAAGTATCCATCATAATGTAAGGGTGGGAATTATGACTTGCTTATTATGATCTAGTAGGGATTATGGATTCATAGACTTGGTCGGAAGGGACCTAAGTAGATCATCAAGTCTGACCCCCTGCCCTGGGCAGGAGAGAATACTGGGCTTGTATGACCCTAGTTAGCTAATTGTCAAGCCTCCTCTTAAAGACCCCCAAGGCATGAGCTAGCATTGCTTCCCTTGAAAGTTGGTTCCAGGTCCGCACCTCTCTAGGATCCCAGTGCCTTGCCTACCAATCAACTTTTATTAAAGTTGGCCATTTTGAAGTAAAGGGCTACTGCCTTACTGCAGGTCCTTGACACCCTGAGCTGTATAATAAATTCCAGTAAGCAATGATTGCTGTTGCCTAGGTGGTCAAGAACCTGGCATCCCCTAACATTGCCTGTGGCCAGAACCAGGTCCAGCAGGGCCTTCCCCATGGTGGGACTGTGCATCTCCTGGGTTAAGTGGAGGTCCTGTATCTCAGCAAGGAACTTTTTCATGAGCAGTCTGACCTGGCTGACTGTTCCTCCCAGCAGCTGTCCAGGTAATTTTAGATCACCCATGACTACTACATCCCTTGATGATGTAATGGCCTCTGCAAGCTGGCCTGAGAATTAAAGGTCCAGCTCTTCCCCTTGGTTGGGTGGTCTGTACTAGACCCCCACTGTTAAGTCCCTTTCCCCATAACCCCCCTGTATTCTGACCCAGAGCACTTCAGCCTACCCCTCCTCTGACCCTATCCTGTTAATTGAGGATGTGTATTGCTCTTTGACAAAGTGCCACACCTCTGCCTTTCTTCCCCATTCTATCCTGCCTGTATAGTCTGTAGCCTAGGGGTGGGCAATTATTTCAGGCAGAGGGCTGCTTACTGAGTTTTGGCAAGCCATTGAGGGCCACATGACAGGTAGCCAGGGGCAGATAAATATTAACTTTTTAAGTTTCTTTGGGACCCTGTGGGCTGCATCCAGCCCACCCCTAATGTTTACTGCCCAGTCATGGGCTGAATCCCACCAAGTTTCTGTAAGCCCTAGTGTGTCTGGGTTTGTACTAGCTATTCAGAGGGCAAGTTCCTCCTTATTTCCCATGCTATGAACACTAGTGTAGAGGTATTTAAGGCTGTGTATTGGTGCATGCACCACCCCCTGATTCTTAGGACTATCTAGACCCCTGTCACTTACCTTTATACTTCTTGTGCTTGTCACCCATCTTGGCTGGGAGGTGTCCTCCTGTGGCCCTATCCCCCAGTGAAGCTAGTTTTAAAGCATGCTAAAGATTCCTCACACTACTGGAGTGTAGCTATAGAGGGCTACACCCT